GAGTGCACAGAATGTTGTAGATCTAGGGTGTCTCTGCAATAGAACTAGTGTATCATGTGAGTAATGAGCAAAGTGGGTGGATGCTGGCTGAGAGGTAGACGCCCTGAAGCCAAGTTAGACCAACAGAGGTGAGTAAAAATGTTTGTTGAAAGTTTGAGTTTGGTTTGCTGGTGTTGAGTGACCAGTCAGGACTTAGACGTCCTTTTAAGGAAACTGGTGTTGTAGTATATTAACTTGCTGCTTTTCGGCTGCTCTGTGCTTGCAGCAGAGTGTGGATGGAGCACTGTGCTGTATTGCTCAATAAAGGAGAAAACTTTGCTCACCAACTGCATGGTCCAGAGCTTTATTCTAAGGGGTTTAACTGGGAGCTGTGGGAGATGTTGATTTTATTTGTCTTTCTCAGCTCCTGCTGTCAGACTGGTGGTGCAGGAGCTTCCTGAACTGCACCAGCAGGTTCAGGGACACTTTCTGCCCGCAAGCCATCAAGCTACTGAGCTGCTGAAATACTGAACACTGAGCACTTTGCACATCCCATCCATCCATCCTTCTCTGACCTTAGAATTACAGTTGATTTAAAAACTTACAGTAACTTTAAGCTTACCTTTGGTACATACACAGGAGTGTATATATACAGGTACATGTACACACTACACCCTTTTGTACTACAGTAACTTTAAGCTTACCTTTGGTACATACACAGGAGTGTATATATACAGGTACAGGTACACACTACACNCACAGGAGTGTATATATACAGGTACAGGTACACACTACACCGTTTGTACTACAGTAACTTTAAGCTTACCTTTGGTACATACACAGGAGTGTATAATGTATATACAGGTACAGGTACATATACACATGACACTCTTTTATACCACAGTCTTTTATAAGTACTTGCAAATCACTGTGTACTATGCACATTATTATTTTACTATCATTTTAGTATGTACTACTTGTATTATTTCATTTTATTGTGCTTATTGTGTTATTTTAATGTGTAAATTTAGGTGGGGGGGGGGGGCTCTGAGTCCAAGAAATTTCATTACAAGAAATGATGTTCCATTGTTATCTGTATATTACAATAACCTTGAAACCTGAAACATTGCCCAGGGGAAACACGCATTTCAGCCAGTTCACACGCTCACAGACCGCACCTTGTGTTTCTCACGCTGAGAAGTTCATAGCTGTACTGAGTTACGCACAGTTAATGATCCCGCTGCAAGCATGTTATTGCATGGATGCGCAAAATTTGGTATTGACCCGGTACCAACTATATACAAGGCCAGTATCACCAATACCTTTTACTTATAGAAACAGCTTATGTACTTTCATGTAGGGGAGAGCGGTGTGTCATAATTCATGAGGTGAATGCACTGCAGCCTACATGCATCTGTTAATCGCTGCCAAATCGCAGGACAACAAGACACAGCAGAAGAGGGGAGGAGTAGCAAAGTCTGCATGCAGGATGGGAAAGGAGTGATGTTTGCACAGACATATCTACTTTAAGAAGAAACGGGAACTTCACACTGAACACAGAGAAACTGAAACTAAAATATCGATCCATTCACGTTAGTATCAATGCAATACCAATACCAACATTGGTACTGATACTATGGATATTTGGATCGACCCACCCATTCATAACACGGAGTGCAGACAAGGTGGAAGTTGAAGAGCAAGATCCGATGAATGCGGTAGGCAAGGCTCTAAAATGTCACACAATGAGACACACACTCCGCCCCAAACAGATGTAATTTCACTGCAAAGTTTAGAAGAAACTTGAGAGCCTTGCCAAGTCCTCCGGTGGCACACATTTTGCACGACGTCAGCCTGGGCTGACCACACCATCAAGACACCATCGAGACGTAAGACGCGGAGGGGGAAAAACCCGCAAGCAGTTGGGGACACACGACAGATCCAAGGTCAGAAACATTTCTGTTGCGTGTATTACGCAGGGAACTCTCCTTTGTTACTGCCGAACCTAATTATCCCTTTACTATGAAAATTCAGTTGTTCAGATTTTTCAGGTCTGTCCGACTCAAAGCTTTTTATTCAAAATAGACTCAGTCAGTGTATCCCAAGGCAGTCTTTCTCTTCCTAAAAAAGTTCCCTTTAAATCTAGAAGTATTTTCTCCGTCTTGTTCAAAACGTTGTGCTGGCTGGTTGAGTGGGACACCATTGACTGTTTTAATAGTGTAGCGTATTACATTAGACATAAATCTTTTCACTTACAGAAAATAAAGCATTAAGTGAATTAATGTCTGATGATGTTATTGTCACAAATGCTGCCGGTAAGGGGGGCTCCACTGTGACCCAGGATAAGTCAGCCTACCTCGGTGAAATCCAAAGTCAGCTTAAGGACGATGCTGCATATACAAGCTCCTCCCTTTTGATCCTACTCTTAAATTTAGTAACGCGATAAAGTCCAGATTAAAGCAGTCATTGACTTGAACGAGCATAACTCTGTTCCGGAAACATCCAGTGAGACCAGTAATTTATACTTGGCCTAAAATTCATAAAAGTTTGGACAGTCCCACAGGCCGCCTGATTGTGTCTGTGAATATAACTGCGGCACATTCTCAATTTGTTGACTATCATATAAAAGGCTTGGACCACAGCTGCCCTCTTTCTCAAAGATAAGACTGACATAAACTGGATGATTTTAAAGAGATGCATTCGGTGATGTTTTATGCACAATAGATGTAACAATTCTCTATATGAGTATTTCACATGAAACAGGATTAAATGTATTAAACTATTACCATTAAAATTTAACGTGCCACATTCTGAATGTTTAGTTTCAGAATAAATTTACGTTTTACCACGATACATTAACGTATGGCACCCAATTTGTTTAAGGGAAAATTTCAGGAGGATTTTATTTATTTGGTCAGTCCATTTCATCAATATTTAAAGGTGTGGTACCAATATATTGATGATATGTTTTTCCTGTGGAGTTGTTCAATAGACCACTTGACAGGGGTGAGGAGTTTGAGAAGCAGGCTGGAGAAATGTGTCAGAGATTCCTGAGCAGGGGTTATGGTAATGTATTCATTCAGGACTGTTTACATCGAGTAGGTAACCTTCAGCGCTGCTAATTGATGAACCGCGTAGCATAGTCACACAGCTCAGATACCTCCATGACATCCGTTTCTACCTACAGCCATATTATTCTAATCCTCCAGGTTGCCAAATTGAAGGCATCTGGTGTGACATTAATGCTTTCAGACTCTCACACTGACGCAACAAATCTTATGGCAAATACATATTATTCCATTATAAACATAAAATTTGCTACATCAAAAGCACTAGGATAGATTGCAAACCCTACAGTCTGTTTACAGTGTAATAAAACTGTCACATATATGTAAATGCATGGGCAGAGTTGTCTCGAAATGAAAATCTCTGGCCAGATGACCAAAGTTGGCAGCCCAGGGAATAATGAGTGCGCTCATATACATGACGTCATTGTGTTTACCTGTGATTTTGAAATGTTTAACATTTGAATATGATCAGCATGCTAAATTCTAGTTTATTTCTTTAAGATATGGTATGCTGGGATTTCAAATTTTGGGCTAGTTTCTTCTTCCGTTGGGGAGACTTTAAGCAGACCTTGGGCTGGAGATTTTTGCTGGACCTGTCAACACTCTACTGTAGGCATTACGCTGTGTGGAGACGCTGAGTAATAAAACCCGTATTATGCAAATTGCGACCTCTTCCTTTGTTGCTTGATTTATTTTTTTCTGTGGTCCAGTACTCTGATACATGTAAAATCCTTAGGAGTGAAGCCTGTTTTTTTTCTGTATTTCAACTCTAAATATTGCTATGTGGTTTTTTTCTACTGCGGTCAAGTTATCCGCGATTTGCCGATACATGGTCAAATCATTCCGTAAAGTATTCAACACAGTCGATTGTGGTAGGAACATAGATCGACTGGTAAATTGAGAGCTTTGCCTTCGGCTCAACTCCTTCTTCACCCATGACAGACCGATGCAGCGCCCGCATCACTGCTGACGCCGCACCGATCCGCCTGTCGATCTTCCGCTCCATCCTTCCCTCACTCGTGAACAAGACCCTAAGATACTTAAACTCCTCCACTTGGGGAAGGACCTCCTCCCCGACCCGGAGAGAGAACTCCACTCTTTTCTGGCTGAGGACTATGGTCTCGGATTTGGAGGTGCTGATTTTCATCCCAACCGCTTCACACTCGGCTGCAAACTGCTCCAGTGAGAGCCGAAGGTCACGGTCCGATGAAGCCAACAGAACCACATAATCTGCAAAAAGCAGAGACCTAATCCTGAGGTCACCAAACTGGACACCCTCGACGCCTTGGCTGTGCCTAGAAATTCTATCCATAAAAGTTATGAACAGAATCGGTGACAAAGGGCAGCCCTGGTGGAGTCCAACCCTCACCAGAAACGAGTCCAACTTACTGCCAACAATGCGGACCAAGCTCTGGCACCGGGCGTACAGGGAGCAAACAGCCCTTATAAGGCAGTCCGGCACCCTGTACTCCCGGAGCACTCTCCACAGGACTCCCCGAGGGACGCGGTCGAATGCCTTCTCCAAGTCCACAAAGCACATGTACAGTAGATTGGTTGGGCAAACCCTCATGCAACCTCCAGGACCCTGCTGAGAGTATAGAGCTGGTCTGTTCCACGGCCAGGGCAAAAACCACACTGCTCCTCCTGAATCCGAGGTTCAACAATCCTGCGGACCCTCCTCTCCAGGACCCCTGAATAGACCTTACCAGGGATGCTGAGGAGTGTGATCCCCCTATAGTTGGAACACACCCTCCAGTCCCCCTTCTTGAGGAACTCCAGGCGGATCTCATCCACCCCTGGGGCCCGGCCACTGAGGAGCTTTTTAACCACCTCAACGACCTCCACCGCAGAGATAGGGGAGTCCACCCCCAAGTCCCCGGACTCTGCTTCCTCATTGGAAGGTGTGTCGGTAGGAATGAGGAGGTCTTCGAAGTATTCCTTTCACTGACCAACAACAAAATCAAGTCCAACAACAAAACACCGCTCGGGTTCAGAATGGGGGGGCCGTTCCTTCCAATCACGCCCCTCCAGGTCTCACTGTCATTGCCCACGTGAGCATTGAAGTCCCCCAGCAGAACAAGAGAGTCCCCTGGAGGAGTGCTCTCTAACACCCCTTCCAAGGACTCCGAAAAGGGTGGGTATTTGGCACATAAGTGCAAGCAACAGTCAGGACCCATCCCCCCCACCCGAAGGCGAAGGGAGGCTACCCTCTCGTCCACCGCGGTACGCTTCTGCAGCTGAGGATCGGACCCCTAAGGTCCCTGCCTTCGGCCACTCACACTGCACCCGACCCCTTTGGCCCCTCCTACAGGTGGTGAGCCCATTGGAGGGGGGACCCACGTACCTTCTTCGGGCTGTGCCCGACCAGGCCCTATGGGTGCAGGCCTGGCCACCAGGCGCTCGCCATCGAGCCCCACCCCCAAGCCTGGCTCCAGAGGAGAGCCCCGGTGACCCGCGTCTGGGCAAGGGAAAACGTGAATCCATGTTTTTACTCATCATAAGGGATCTAATGAGCCGCACTTTGTCTGGTTCCTCACCCAGTGCCTGTTTGCCTTGGGTGACCCTACCAGGGGCATAAAGCCCTGGGCAACTTAGCCACCACGATAAGGTGTCGGCTCCAGGAGAGGTTCAGACTGCATTTATTAGAAAATGGTACGGTAAAAGTTGACCAAATATTGCCTGGAAGTAGGCTAGTACTTTAGCTTTCTGATCCTATAAGACTTCTCACTGCATTACAGGAAACTAACAATTACATCGTATTTTAGTACATCCTTTATTTCATACATATGACAGGACGTTTTCATGCACGATTGCTTGGAGAGTTTATTTTCCTAACATGATGTTACTGTAATGTTATGCCTATGCCTGTTATGCATGCACCACAGATTTTAAGCGCGGATGATTTGACTGTGTATTGGCAAACTGCGGATGGCTAACCGCAGTATTTTTTCTTGTTTCGTCCAACGCTACTCAAAGCGCACAATACGTTAACTAAAAATAAATATTACTGTGTTGACCCGAATATAAGACGGGGTTCTGTCCTCAAAATATGTCTGAAAAAGTGGTGTCTTATATTAGAGGTCTAGACAAAAATGGGAATGGATAACGCCAAATACATTTTGTAAGGAGTGTCTCCGCAACACGTTTTTTACCATCTTCATGGGGGTCTGCTGCATCGAAAACATTCTGCGCTGTCAAGGATTGTGGAGTTTGTAATATTCATTATGTACCCTCCCCCCATCCACCACCAAATAATACATTTGTTTTTTGGAATGTTTGCTATTTAATACACTTACAGTAATGTAATCCGATTGCCTGTGCTTGCTTTTTCAGTTGTGGTTGCTGGTTAACTTATTACTTGCGCACGTCAAATTAAATTATTTTGCTTTATTGAGGTTAGATTTGGTACTGTATTCCAAAAGCTTTTTCTTTTCTAAAAAATAGTTGCCAAAAAGTGCAGGGGTCGTCTTATAATCTGGGTCATCTTATATTAGGTCCAATATGGTAATTGGTTATTATGTACCATATTATATAAAACGATGCAGCTAGGCGGTGGGGTAACCTTCGTTTTAGCAGTGATTATGAAATACAGGAATCATAATAAGCAAAATAATTTAAGTCAAAGTGATGACAAAGACAGGCTAGGCTACTTTGAGAGCCTAAATGGGACAAATCTATGGCTAACCTCACATTTTTGAGTGAGTATGTCAAACCTGAATGTCTTCTTTTAAGACGTTTTTTTCATTGCAGTCATGCTGTGGTATTTAAGCTCTGTTTTCCAATCCTGACAGAAAACTGCTTTCTCATTCACTGTTACTGTGAAGTGCTTCCACATAAATGATACTTTTGCTCTTTATCTGGACCCTCATCCTTCATGCTATGTCTTCCTTCCGCCCTACTGCCGTGTAATTGAAAATTTTAAACAATGCTTCTTAATAATCGAGTTTTATTGTGTAATTGTGAGAGCTCTACTATTTGGTGAAGTATTTTTACACTCTGACACACTGAAACTGTATGACAAATGGTGAACGTAGGTTAATGCTTTGCAGTTGTGTTACTTACACAGGAAAAGCCATGGATTTGAACATCTGGATGAAGGGATCCAGTCTTCTCCTGCTGCACCTTCTTCTGCTATCATTATTGGGCAGCATTCATGCCGATCTCCCCTATCCTCCTACTGCCACCCCACTGTTTGAGGGATACCCTTACGGTGTCATATGGAACATGCCAACTCCTGTTTGCCAGCAGAACAACATCCCCCTGGACACCTCGCCATTTCAGGTCGTTACCACCCCTGAAGCTGTTCCTGACCAGTTCCTCTTCCTGTTCTATACCAACCGCCTGGGGTTGTACCCATTTGTGGATGAGGCAACTAATAAGGAGATCAATGGAGGCATCCCACAGAAGGGCAACCTGACGGCCAGCTTGGATGTCGCCCAGTGGGACATCACTCAATATATTCCTTCAGGAACCTCCACTGGTCTGGCCGTCATTGACTGGGAGGCCTGGCGCCCCCTGTGGGACACAAACTTTAATTCTAAGACTATCTACCGCACGCTGTCTATTGACTATGCCCATCAGCTTCACCCCTCACTTTCCCCATCTCAAGCTGAGCCTGTGGCCAAGGAGCAGTTCCAGACAGCTGCTAGAAACTTCATGGAGGACACAATGAGTCTAGGGATCAGTATGAGGCCCAGTTACCTCTGGGGCTTCTATCTCTTCCCTGATTGTTACAATGATGTCTGGGAAGAGGCTGACTACACAGGTATGTGCCCAACATGGGCGCAGGCAGAGAACGACCAGCTCCTGTGGCTGTGGCAGACGAGCACGGCCCTCTACCCATCCGTCTACCTGCAGACTAGTCTGGCCAACACCCACAAGGCCGCTCTGTACGTCCGCAACCAAGTTCATGAGGCCATGAGGGTGGCCAGCCTGCCTAAGCACCCCTTCAATGTCCCCATCTACGTCTACACCCGTCCTGTCTTTACCGATCAAGCCAACAAATTCTTGAGTGTGGTGAGTACATAACGTCCTGGATCATCTTATAAACTGGATATGATTAAGCTCCAGCATGCTGCCTTTGCATAAGACCTGCATATGGTCACTGTACACTACAAGTCATCAAGGCATGGGGCCCAGAGGTTCTGTCTCACTGCTCTGTGTGTGTTGCCGTCTCCAGGAGGACCTGGTCCACACTCTGGGTGAGAATGCGGCTGTAGGGGCCTCGGGTTCAGTGCTCTGGGGGGGCACTACGGACTTTGATGACAAGGTATATTCCCATGCATCACATGTCATCTGCATGTCTGCGGCAGGGACACACTAAATGATTAAGGTTAAAAAATTGAGTGCTACAGTATATTCACAATGTCTATGACATTTTCAATTCCCTCACTGCTACGAAATGAGATATCTGAAGTAAAACAGTAATGAAAATGAAGCATCTATGCTGTAAGAGTGCTTACATGTGCCATAGAATGAAAATCTGACTTTACATCAACATAGCATAGTTCGGTACATGGAAATGACATACCATGAATCTCAAACATTGTCATTCACTCTTTCAAATATACTTCCTGAACATGTAAAAGAAAGAATTGAAACAGGCTATTTCAAAATTCCTAGTCTCTTACTAAACAGTCTTAACCACACCCCCAAACTTAGTATATGCCATGCCACTCTCAAGGTCAATGGACAAGCCTTGTTCAACAGTTGTGCATTTATCGTTAAGAACGAAGCAAAGGACAACAGTGAAAATGTCAGGCTGTATCTATAAGTGTGCCGTTTGAGGCTATGATGGGGATGTCGGCACTTACCCTTCCCAAGGAATCGAACTGTCATCAGGCATGGCTGATGTGCATCTTTAATTGGTCAGGGGTATGTTTCCCAAAAGCTCCTCTTAGCAACTTACATGGTTGGAACCGTTCACTTGCATGATTCTAGCTATGTAAGTTGCTAATTTGCTAACAACTTTGGTTTTTGGAAAATGTACCTCAGTTTAATAGGGGAATAGTAAACATTACGAAGTCTATGATACTGACATTGACAAGACGCTTCTGTACTTCCCGTAGCCTACTTTTGATTAGCTAAACAAATATCTAACCGATAGTACAGTAAAAAAAGATAATGAAATCAGAACTCCAAATTCATTACAAAGAAGCTGCTTATCTTGCTGTTTAGAGTTCCTCATAAAACTTGGATGACAAAGCTAGCATTGTAAAATCATTTGTTGTGGCAGATGCTAAAAAATTTCTGTGTTCTTGTTATAGTGTTAAAAATAAAGTTCTGATTATGCTAACATTCTACCAAGGCTGAAGTGGGACTATTACAGTTACATGCTGCAAGTTGTTCCAGAAAATGTTAAATGACAAATTGTACCACTCAGAAGCGTTCTGCAATCTCCAAGGAACAGGCTGTTCATCGGTATTCCCCCTCCGAAACAGGCTCAAACATATACAGTTGGATGCCTAAGTGCTCCATGTTTCTATGCTGGTTCTGTGTGGGCCATCACAGTGCCTCACTGTACACCAGCCAATCAGAGCAGAGCTCATGAACACATTAATGAGCCCACCAAATAAGGCAAAACAGCCTGTTTCATTCTAGGGCCAGGGATGTACATGGGCATGTAAAACCACTTCTGGACATTCTTCAACCAAAGAAAACATATGTTATATGTAGACACCAGATAGCAATTTGGAAAAAAAAACATTCTATGGCACCTTTAAGTCCTCCTTCTTATCTGAGATCTTTTCTTCACAGTCAGTCACAGATCACTTGCCTATGTCACACAAGCACATTCCATCCTTGTAGGTGTCATGTGAGGCCTTATCCTCCTACCTGAACTCCACCCTGAACCCCTACATCGCCAATGTGACGGCAGCTTCCTGGCTCTGCAGCGAGTCACTCTGCCAGGGTAACGGGCGCTGCATCCGGAAGGACTACAACTCTGATGTCTACCTGCACCTGAATCCTGATAGCTTCTCTGTCCGAAAATCCAACGGGAAGTACGTGGCGGAGGGCATTCCCACCCTCTCTGACCTCACCTACTTCTCCGATCACTTCACCTGCCAGTGCTACGCTGGGTTGAGCTGCTCGCCGCAGATTGCGAGCGAGCTCTCCATCGAACCCGTGGCCATTCCTGTGTAACATGGCCCTTCAGTATGCTGTAGGCTCACTGCCCTTTAAAAATGTTTGATCATCCTGCTGATTCATTTCTTCATTTCCTGTTTCCTGTTTTGTGAAGCATTTGTTTCCTTTTTTGCGTATTAAGTTCGGAATTGGGGGAGGCCAGATACAGCGGGTGAAGGGTTGGGTTATGCCCTCCCCAGGTTCTTGACAAGCCCCCTCAGTAACTAATAACTCAGCACCTCTGGTAACTAATCATTTAATCCCACTCTTAATTTTTACCCCAAATGGTTTCTGATTGGCTGTTTGGGAAGAATAAAATTCAGGAACAAGCCAATCGTCACTGTCACTCTGTGTGTACTGCCACCGTGGTTGTGAACGTGTCACTTGTCAAGTGCTTCTGAATTAATTAGCTTGGTTACTCAAGGAGACCCATTATAGCTAAATCTATAGTGTTGTCTGATTTTGTCATAATCCATCTTTTGGTTTGGGGGGATGGCAGGTAAAAGTGACTGTATGACTCCCAGAAATGTTCACTGATCCCCCAGTCAATGCAGGCATCATCCAGCCCTGCCTGAAACTTTAAGGAAAGACTTGTTTAGTTGATCTTCAAACTTTTCTATCAATAAAGCCTTTTCTTTAATTGGAAGATGAGCTGAAGCATTTGCTTTAATACTTGTTAGAGGAAAAGGGTCAAGAAGACTTTGAGAGAACCTTTTTACTATAGGGCAGAAATCAGAGGAATGTAACTGTTGTGGTGTCTTTAGCCGGTCAATGGTTACTTTTTATACAGGAAGTTCACACAAAATCTAGAAGTTCGCGTTAGTATCAAGGTTAAATGTAAATGCTATCAAGAAAGCTACAGTCACAAGCAAAAGTTTGTGAACTCTTTGGCATTGTCTGACTATCTGCATGGTAACTGCAGTCAGGTGTTCCAATCAATTCTGCTGTGGGTCTATATATATATATATATATACACACACACACACATACATACACACACACACACACACACACACACACACACACACACACACAAACCCCATTTCTAGAAAAGTTCGGATAATGCAATAAAATGCAATAAAAACAAAAATCAGTAATATGTCTATTGACCTTAAGCTTTATTTAGCAGAAAAAGTACAAAGATAGGTTTTTCAACAGTTTCACTGACCAACTTAATTGCATTTTCTAAATATACGCAAACTTAGAATTTCATGGCTGCAACAGTTGGGACAGAGGAATATTTACCATTGTGTTACATCCCCTTTCCTTTAATAACACATTTTAATCATTTTGGATCATTTTCAGATCTGCACCGGCAGCAGGCCAGTCAAGCACATGCACTCTGTATCTACGAAGCCATACATGCTGTTGTAGCTGAGGAGACGTCACTTTGATGGCAACATGTCTCTCTAAAGTCCTAATATATGGCTCAGAGTCAATGGTAGCTTCATATACATGCACCTTCCCACATCATGGGCACTGAACTCACATCACAGATGCTGCTTTTACACCTTCCGCTGCATGGTCAGTTTTACCTTTAGCATTGAGAACTTGTTTCCAAAAACAAGCTGAAATGTGGACTCATCTGACCACAGTTCCACAATCTTTTGCCCCATCTGAGATTTGCTTGGGTCCATAGAACTTGCCAGCGTTTCTGCATAAAGTTGATGTATGGCTTCCTCCTTGTGTTCCAGTTTGAAGTTGCATTTCTGCATGCAGACGGACTGTGTTAAGTGACGCTGGTTTTCCGAAGTGCTCCTGTGCCCAGGTGGCTGTATTTGTCAGATCAGCATGACAGTTCTTGAGGCCGTGCCGCCTCGGGGCTCGAAGATCACGCACAACCAACAGTGGTTTCTGTTCTTGCCCTTTACACACTGAGATTTCTCTGTATTCTCTGAATCTTTTCACAATTGTAGATTCTCTGCAATCTCACATGTGAATGTTCCTTTTGAACTGACTAATAATTCCCTCACAAATTCTGGCACTAAGGTGTGAGGCACGACCCATCCCTGCTTGCAGAGACCGAGCCTTTGATGGATGCTACTTTCATACCCAGTCATGATACCACACCTGCTACCAATTAGTCTGCTTAATGTCTTCCAAACTGGTGTTACTGGAATATTACGTGCACTTTTCAATCTTATTTTAACTCTGTCCCAACTTTTGCAGAGTGTGTTGCAGCCATCAAATTCTAACTTTACATATAATTACAAAAATCCTTTGGTCAGTAGAGCTGTTGAAAATCTTTTGTTTGTATTTGTACAACTTTCTTTGTACTTCTGTCAGTTAAATGAAGGTTCACGTGATCAGTTCAAGGACAAAAAAGTGACCAAGGATCCTAGGGTGAAAGCAAAAGGTCTCCTTCACAGTGCACAATGCCTGTGTTCAAAAATGACACTGAACTAGCGTGGTAGCAAATACACATAGAATTTACCTTGGAGCAGAGTGTGGGGAGCGCGGTGCGGGGGACCATGACCGCGTAGAGCAGGGTGGGGGGACCGTGACCATGTGGAGCAGGGTGCGGGGACCATGCTTGCTAAAAGCTGGCTGTAAGCTGTGATTAAGGATCAAGACAAAGTCCATCAATGAGTCTGTTCTCCACGCTGGCCTGTGTAGGTGCCACTGAAGGCTGCACCCACGATGATGCAGTTCATAGGTCCCATTCGCGATGTCACCCCTCCATGGGACTGAACCAGGACTCCAGCTCTGATGGTGCCCACCCCGGGCACCACCCGGACATGTGGGAATGCAGAGAACATGGACGGTCAGGTAGATACAATCACACTACAGCAGCACCAGCAGCCATAGTTATGGTGTGTTAGGTTGTGGGTAATAAGCTAAACTGAAGTAATAGGTCTTCAGTCATGATTTAAAGACTGTGACCGAATCAGCATCCAAGACATGGTTAACCATTCCACAATATAGGGGCCCTGTAGCAGAATGCTTTACCGCCCACTCTCACTTTATTTATATGTGTAATGACAAGGAAACCTGCATTCTGTGATCTGATTGGACGATACGGCCTGTCCTTGTGTAAAGTAGGCAGGAGTTAGACCTTTAAGTGCCTTATATGTAAGTAGGAGAACTTTAAAGTCAATCCTGAACCTAACAGGAAGCCAATGCAGGGAACTAAGAACAGGGATTATGTGTTCAAACTTCCTGCCCCTGCTGACAATTCGAGCTGCTGCATTTTGAATACGCTGTAAGGTGTTTAATGTGCAGTGTGTGCTTCCAGATAACAGAGCATTACAGCAGTCTATCCTACTGTATACAAAAGCATGTAGCAATTCCTCTGTGTCTTGAATAGTAAGAAATCGTCGCAGTTTGGTGATGTGGCGTAGCTGTAAGAAGCACGCCTTCGAAACTGCACTTACACGTGATTTGAATGAGAGGCTTGTATCAAGATGACACCCAGGTTACGGGCTGAGCTGCTGAGGGAGAAGTTCAGCCCTCTGGAGTGGAGTGTGGAGATTATAAAATCCCTATCTGCAGACCTGCCTCCAAACAACAGAACCTCGGTTTTCTGCGCATTTAGTGATAAAAAGTTTTCCGCCATCCAGGTTTTAACTTCATTAAAGCAGTTAGCTAAGGTGACAATAGATGTGGTGTCGTTAGGCATAACCAAAATGTATTGCCCACATGTATATTGAAGTCTTGAAGTATTATAATATTCTCTAAAATAATAACTAAGTGAGAGAGCAGCTCCCCAAATTCTGTCAGAAACAAAGTGTATAATCCCTGTGGTCTGTATACTATAAGAATACAGATGGGCAGGTTGGACACCATGTGAATTAGCATTGCTTCATCTTTGATAATCTTGGGTTCAATCTTTAACAGCGAGTTAAAAGTAGCTGCCAGGCCGCCCTCATGCCCAGAGCCACGTAGTTTCTGTACGAAACTGAACCCTTCAGGTGAGGCTTCAACAAGAGGTATAGTGTCTGTGGGTCTGAGTCACTGATCTGTCACTAAGAGTGTTTGTCTGCATTCTTACCACAAGATGGCAGTATGATGTTAAGCAGTTTTTATCGGTGTAATATATTTCACTTTTACGTTGAAGACAAATTATTTTGTCCGTTCCCATACAAAGCTGTGCATGTACTGTTTAGCTAAACCCTTTATGTAGTTAAGAATAAATAATCAAGAACATTGTGGTTCAAATACAGTAGAGATGCCAGGTCATTATAATGTTAGCATAACAAACTCATATATTCTATCTTTTAAAAAATAAATTAAAAGCCAAAGGAAATCATGCATTTGTCCTAATATCCAGCATGTACAGTAGCTTTGTATCCTTGGAAAATTGGGACAGACGGCTTCCGATTGGAGGCTACAATTCCCATGCGTGGTTTCAGGTGTTGTTTACTGATCTTCCCTCATTAGTGATTCCACTCACCCCCAGGACCGGGGGCAGAAGCACAAGAATAATATTGGATTCTGCTCATTCTTCAGCTGACTGAATGTTTAATTAGCACCACGCTATCACACTATACACGCACAGCACTCACAGTCAAGCCTCTCCTCTTTCTCCGTGTCGACAAAAGGTATCGTCTTTCTTGAGAAAACGATAGCAGTTTTCGACACTTTATTAAGAGTAGTGCGAATAGTCATGCAAACACAGTTATACAATGGATGATGCTGTCTGATGTGACTGACTGCTTACTGTGTGTGATGCCTCTGTGCCATATATCATACGCAACCCTTTGTTACCGCTGAGCTGATGTGTCCGAGCACACAAACCGCCTGCCCCTCCCACTCCCATCATGCGCTGTGACACCCCAGCTATGGCGCGCAAGATGGGGTCGGCAAGGAGAAGGATTCAAATGCACCTGTACTCATATTTGTGAAAATGGCAAAGAAAGGATTTATCATTTATTTTTGATGATTTATTACGTATGCTGCCCTTATTCTCCTGCTCCTCTCCACTGACCCCCGCCCTTAATTGTCCTACTGTGTTACTCCTCCGAACTGACAGACCAAGACAAGATGGCTTTTTAAGTGTCACCTCTCAACAGGGGTGCTGTTATGCGTTTAATCTTTAATGCAATTGACATTAAGTACTCAGTGAAGATGTCTCGAGTCTCAATGCATTTATTTTCTGAAATGCAAAGGTACTCATATCAGTCAATCTCAGTGGTGGCTTGATGGTTAAGGAAAGTTCACTTGTAATTGAAAGATTGTTAGTTTGAATCCCCAACCTTCAAGGTACCACTGAGGTACCCTGAGCAAGGCCCTGCCCCCATGTCACATATGGGTTACATGCAGAGGACACATTTTGCTGTTGTGCACTGTGGTGTGTCAGCACTTTACTATGGACACCATGTGTCCCGACCACGATGCCGTCATTACAAGTCAGCAGATTCTCATCCTCAAGTCTTCCAAAAAGTTCTAGACACAAGTGATATTATTGTCTGCATGACGTGATAGTCTTCTTTTAATTAGTTGTTTTTATTTAATTCTTAAATAGGCAGAAAACTAAGTAAAATTATCAAAATAAAGAAAGCATTTATGTATATGTATATATAAATATTTAAGCATGTTATTGTGCCCCTGAGCTATGAGTAATTTGGAACATTACATGTTACAATTAAATTTCCATACAGAAGAAGATCTCAAGAAAAACTGTTCAGTATTACAGTTAAAGGAGTC